AAAATGCCATAGGCTTGTGCTAATAACGTTAGCATGTTGTATTTGTTTGGAAAACGTGTTTAGTATCAGACAGTTGTTTTGTCAGTGAACCTTGTGAGCTGTAATGGAGCTGAACTGTGTAACGTTACCTTTGTTAAATGTTGCTGTTGTCCCTGGCTTCATATGAGTAGAGGAGAAGTCTGCTAGCTGCTAGGCTAATTTATACAATGTAAAATGCCATAGGCTTGTGCTAATAACGTTAGCATGTTGTATTTGTGGGGAAAATGTGTCCAGATAAAGACAAGTGTTTGTCTGTGAATGCTGCGAGTTATAGTGAAGCTGATTTGTGTTTGAAACTGTCTCTATGAAGCCATGTTTAATGTGTGTTTAATGTGTGTTTAGTGTGTGTTTAATGTGTGTTTAGTGTGTGTTTTGAATCAACTAAACTTTACAGCACTTCACAGAAACCCCATCGCCACCTAGTGTTTTGGAGGTGTAACTGCAGAGTGACACAGACACACCACCACACAAGTATAAATGCTCATGACGGTGTAGGCTCTGGCCGAAGTGTAAATCCCCCTTAAAACTTAAGACCACTCTAAATAATCTGAATAAATGGATGTTTTAAAGTCTTCTCTGTGTGTCAGACTGGTTTGAATGTGTTATATTCTGAATCTGACCTTTGTGATGTTGTCGGGCACCGGTTCAAACACCCTCCTCTGTTCCTCTCGGGGTATCTGTGAGTGGAGCGGCAGGATCCGGTACCGGTTACTTCCTGGAAACAAATACAGAACGTTTCATCACTGACCTGACATTGTACTCTGTGTTTGCTTTATACTCCATTTATCAGTTCCTCCTCAATTTTACTGGCTGTTTTTGGGATTGTTGCAGCCTGAACTGTCTGATTTCATGGCAGCTTTTTGGGGCTCTCACACATTTTCATGGACAAATTTTCCAAACTCTTCCATGACTTTTCAAGGACCCATAAAAAAAAAAAAAAAGCTTTTCATGCCCCATTTGCCCAGCGTCTTTTAACATATCAGATTCAAACTCTATTCACACATAATTTCAGCTAGCTGGCAGACATTTAGGGAGACACTAATCTAATTCACATAATCCGCTCCAAATAAATCTATATTTTTAAAGTCATTACTAAAAGTGTGTGTCATATAAAAACTAAAGTGATGATCAAAGTTGTCACAGTGAAATTTAAGGTGTGCTGATGGATTCACGTCATCAACTCATGCATTGAGTAACATTACAAGTTAACGTTCCACCTTAAAAGTTGCCGGCAGTAGGCCCAGTGAATGAAGTGATTTTTTTCTCTTTCATTTTATAGTTGTAGTTTACTGATGTATGAACAGAGGTTACATAAAACCAGAGTGACCGTCCTCTACTGACCAATCAGACTGCAGGGTTTCTAGCTCCACCTTTTAGTACCAGATCTGTGTGCTAGGTACCCCAACAGAGGGGGGACCAAACATGGGGACGCTAAGGAACGCTTCTGTTGGGACCATCCACAACTTTCACTGTGGGAACAGAAACAATGAACTGAACTGAACCGTACCAGACTGCTTGGTGGAAACGAGGCTCAACATGATGTGGTGACGTACCAAAGTGTGGGTTGGTCTCCAGGTGTCTCTGCATGGAGTAGATGAGGTTCCAGCCGGGCAGGAAGATGAGCACGGCTCCGGCCACCTTCAGCGTCTCGATGTACTTCAGAAGAGCCTCCACCAGCTCGAAGGACGTCTCCTTCTCGTTAATCTGAGCCATCGAACGCTTCGTCTCTGCCGTGTAGTCGGGACCACAGATCACGTTACAGTTAGTCTGCACAGACGGTGAAGAAAAAAAACAGTCGCTCAGAGTTTTATCTCGTGTGGAGCTACAGTGACAGCAGAGGATACAACAATGACTGTGGCTTACATCATCATCTCCTCCCTCCTCGTCCTTGTCTTTCTTCTTGCGGTCATTCGGTGGAGGGACAAAGTTGGTCATCTGGATGCAATCTTCCAGGAAGTACTCTGTTTTTAAAGCACAGAATTGGTCACAACACTTTATTCCTGCTGAAGGTCTCAGGCTTTGTTTATTCAGACACTTCATTATAAGGAAACTCATTTCATAGCATCGACTGGTTTCCTCTGAAAACTGATGGAGCCTCGCAGCAGGAGAAACAGACAAGAGTCAGATCTATTGTGTCTGTTATTTTCAGCTGATTTAATTTCATTACAGGCATGTCAGTGTGGTTGTGTAGTTCTGCTGGTCAGGGACCGTAAACAGCACCAGAGAGCACTGACAGGTGAAATGACCCAAACATCATATTTAAGAAGCCATGAATAAATCTTTACCTTGTATTGAGTTTTATAGAATAAATGTTAAAGGTTATTTGGATTTTTATAAACTCTCAATATTGTTGTCTAACATGAAGAATCAGTTGGGGGTTGAATCAAGGAGAGTAGATTAGATGATGCAAGTTTCTGATTCTCAGAAACCTTGTTTACGACTGTCTGAACGAGGAGCTGCAGATTTACAGTGAAACACATTTATTCAGATCCTGATGCTGCGAAGATGATTACTGACCTCGTGAAGCCTCACAAAGGGGAGCAAACTGATCAGGGAGAAACACACTCCAGGATGACTGTCATCTCACTGCTACAACACTAATTTAAGCCCCTTTTCCACTGCATAAATAACCCGCTAACACCTGCACACATCTGGCTTTGTGATGTAATGGGAAAGGGTACAATCAACATTAACACTCTGGTCACTAATTTTAGCCAGCGAGATGCAGTGACGCGCCACCACTAAAACGCCACCGTCTCCACCCAAACAAACATTGTTCCAAATCAGACTGCCCAGAGTTTGAAAGACAGAATGAGTGAGTAAGAGAAATACAAAAAGGAGACACATTTAACCACATATTTTTTGTAGTGTAAATGTTAACGTCATCTTGATGCGTCCCTGACACGGACTGCGTCAACAGTGAAGGATGTGATGGTTGTTTTGGTGACACATCTATTTTACAATGAGCTGGACAAAGTGTTGCGTGACCATCCCTTGTTTTGCCCTGTGGAAGGAGACGTGTTAAATCTCCAGCTGTACTGATACAACTATTGATGTGACCAGTAAGCATGCTACACAGGAGCTAGTCAAAGTATGGATGCGATAACTGTGCGCAGGGCAGTAACGAAATCTGGGCACGTGATCAGCTGGAGACGTATGAGAGGTGCAGGTGTGAACAGTGATGTGTGTCCTCTGGTGTTCTGATCACCATAACGTGTATTCATACAGGTCTAAACAGGGCCTAAGACAGGGGTGTCAAACATACGGCACGCCAAAGGGTCCAATGCGGCCCACTGGATGACTTCACACACCTGATATATAGTCTCAGAGGTCACACAGGGGTCAGTGAGGTACCTTGTACGGGGAAAGTGCGTCCAAACACCTCGATGATGGGGGCGTTGAAGAAGTACTCTCTGAACATGGTGGTGTCGATGGTGGCCGACATGAGGATGATGCGGATGTCCGGGTAGGCCTGGACCACATCTCTGAGGACCACCATCAGGAAGTCCGTCTGCACAGACACACAGAAGGTCAGGCTGGACAGGAAGTGACTCATCACCAGTTAATATTAGGCTATAATAAATGAGCTCACATTAATGTCTCTCTCGTGGATTTCATCAACGATAACGTGACTGATGCCTCTGATTCCTGCTTCGAGCTTCCGCAGCAACACACCTGAAACACAAAGCAGACTTGTTGACATCCTGCTGACACAATGTTCACTCTGGGTTTAGTGTGATCGGAAGAAAACTGAGCTTTTCGGAAAGTTCAGCTCAAGAACATCTGTTGAGAATCAGTGCCGTGTGTGTTTATGTACCAACGGTGCAGAAGAGGACGCTGGCGTGCGGTCGAGGCAGGATAGACTCGAAGCGGACGCTGTAGCCACAGCTCTTCCCAATATCCTCTCCTCTCTCAAAGGCGACTCGCTCGGCCACCGACACGGCGCTGATCCTTCTGGGCTGCAGGGAGGACGAGATGAATACACATCAACAGGCTGCTGACCTCCTGTCAGACCAGTCCCCCATCTAATGTATGTAAGTATTAGCAGCTCACTTTTCACTGGACAGGAAGGGGAGGAAACGCTGAACATATGTTTGTGTCCTCGAGTGTTTGGGAGTCGAATGTTGAGCGTTACCTGGGTGACGACGATGTTGCAGTCGGATGCTTTGCCTCCCTTGATGAAGCGGTCCAGGATGTACTGAGGGACCTGAGTGGTTTTACCGCAGCCCGTCGCTCCTCTGATGATCACCACAGAGTTATTGTTGATGGTGGTCATGATCTCCTCCTCAAACTGTTTGACAGGCAGCTGGTCGCGTTCCATCAAAGTCTGAAACACATCATTTATATTTTTCTACACTCGTATCTCTCTCAGTTTTGTTCTGTGTAAAGCAGCAACAGCAGAAGAAGAAAGCAGACTGACCTTCTGCAGGTTGTCGTCATGTTCCAGCTGGTACATCAGCTCGTCGTGAAGGTCGCTGCTGATCTGCTCCGGAGTGCACTGAAGACGGTACAAATAACACACATCAGCTGTTGTGCAGCTCGTCAACTCCACGCTCAATGATCAACTGTACTCATTAACGTGGAGGTAATCAACACAAACATGACAAACAGCTGCTGGTCTGTTGGGAGTGTATCTGCAGGTGAACCACCTGGACTGATTCATTAGTCAATATCTGCCCATAAACATTAATGAACCAGTGCAGAATCAAACAGCCTCTGCAGTACCTCGGGTTAAAGAACAAAGACTCACGTAGGCCAGCGGTCCCTCGTCGATGTTGCTGCTGGTCCAAGGGTTCCAGTTGACCTGTGGAGGCGACCAGGGGACGACCCCAGCTCCGCTCTGACGCTGGGACGGCTCAAACGTCGCCATCTTCCCCTGAACCAGAGACACCCAGCTGGAGGGGTCTGCAGGCTGAACGGGACGACATGAAGGGTTTAGTTATACAGGTGATATCAGGATGTAACTAGAGCTGCTTCCTGAAAGTCAAAGAGTCGAGTCATCCGTCAGTGACCCTTCAGTCAACTTGAAATTCTTCAAGTTGAGTCATCATTTGTTTTGTTGTCAGCCACATCATATTTCTATATTGTAGCAGGGTCAGCGCACTTGCTAAAAAAATAAATAAAAAAAAAAAAAAAATCAAGTGACAACCAGGTTTGCCGTGGTAGTCAAGGTGTGGGGTATATAATCGATAATATATCTTGCCCACTGTTTCCACCTTTGTTTGCTCTTTTTCAAATTAACACTTCATCGGACGCTACAATAATGAGCTGAAAGTGTCGGCCCCGAACAGCAGCAGACTAACATGAGTCAGATTTAACTTACAACGTGACGAGAGAGTAGACTGACAGCGGAGGATCTGGGGTCTGTTTGGCAAAGTTCAGATTTAAACCCAATAACATCAGGGACCCAGATAATGTCAATGAGGGGAATTTAAGTGTTTAATGCCGGCCCCGCCCGTGAGAAAAAACATCAAAGTCAAATCTTTGTATTAAATGACTGAATCGGACTCACATCAAAAGATTGTGATCTGGTGCAGCCCTAAATATAACCATTATATTAGCTAACACTGATCGAAGTCAGTTTTGGGGGCTCAGGTGACTCACAGGTGGGGGGATTTGGACTTCGAGCTTCTGGACGACAGCGGCCAGCTGCTGCTGAAGGTCCGGAGACACGTTGACCTCGAACACCTCCAACTGGACACAAAACACACGACAGCGCAGAGTGAGACACTGAACGTCACACAGGACACCGTGTTTAAAGTCAAGCTTTCGGCCGGCTCACAGTTTCCCCCTCCTTCTTCTTGGTGACTCCGGAGTACGCCTCCAGGACTCCCAGGTGGTACAGCTGCCGCACCAGAGACAGAGCACACGACTGGGCTGCCAGCTTCTTGTTAGAGCCGTGCTCTCGAGCCGTGATCCCTGCAGAGCACACGGAGCACAGTGACCTTTGACCTCCTGATAAAAACGACTCGCATGAAACAACGCTGATTAAAGAGAAAACATTTTAGTGTCTTACTTCTGCCGAGCTGTCTCACAAACAGCTGCATCTCTGCTATGAAGCTCCTGCAGACACAAACACAAACATCACAGCTTCACTTCCTCTGAGCTTTTCAAAATAAAACAGAAAATAAGCCGTGAACAAAGGGATGAACTCACCTGCCGTGCTCTCAGGAGGAAGCCTGTATGTTTTTCTGCCAGACTTGAGATTAAAAAACACCAATCAACAGCTGAGATTCTCCCCGCTGCTCTTTCTCTGCCCTGCAGTGACACAGTGACACCAGAAATCACAACCAGACTCGTCTGAGCCCCCAGCTGCACCCATGGGACAGCTTTAGTGCACCTAAACGCTGTCCCATGTCTTCCTTCAGTGTGGCTGTGATTTCTGGCATCACCTCCGTGTTCCCTGACGAGGCAGGACTCTCTCTTCATCCAACACCTGTCCACCACACCAGCTAAAGGTTGGTTAAGTTTTTACGAGACAGGACGACTGACGGCCAAAATCTGGCAGGATTCATCCTCGTCTAACCGTCCATCAGTTTACACCATCATCTTATGCGGGATTTATACTTCATCAAAATTGACGCTGTACCTACACTGTACCCTGACGTGCACCTCCCCAGAAATGTAACTCCACAGTGTCACAGTGACGCAGACCTCCTGTCTGTCTCTGTGAGCTGAAACCATTTCCCTCAGTGGAAACAAAGCTTTGATTTACTTTAATTTCACAGATAAGAAACAATAAATTGTGAAGACAATAAAGCTTCCACACACTGTGTGTGATTTATCCTGGCTGAAATATGAGCAGAGGAAATCTCTGCTAGCTGCTAGGCTAATTTATACAATGTTTAGTGTGTGTTTAGTGTGTTTAATGTGTGTTTAGTGTGTGTTTAATGTGTGTTTACTGTGTGTTTACTGTGTGTGTTTAATGTGTTTAGTGTGTGTTTAATGTGTTTAGTGTGCGTTTAATGTGTGTTTAGTGTGTGTGTTTAATGTGTGTTTAATTTGTGTTTAACGTGTGTTTAATGTGTGTGTTTAGTGTGCGTGTTTAATGTGTGTTTAATGTGTGTTTGACGTGTGTTTAATGTGTGTTTAGTGTGTGTGTTTAGTGTGTGTGTTTAATGTGTGTTTAGTGTGTGTGTTTAGTGTGTGGTAACTGTAACTTTGGCCATTTGATTGGATCTCAGACCCACTGATCCAACAGAGAGAGTACGGGTCAGGAAGCGTCTGCCTTTGTTAGGGTTAACTTGTCAGTGTAAGTCGATCTGTCCTCTGCTGACAAAATGTCCCCGACGTTAACAAAGACAAAAAGGGTTGAGTTATTTGAGAAGACTAATTTGTGCTGTGTTGCGCACATAAACTTTTTCTCCTGAGACTTCACGGAGCTCTACAGATTCATTCTTTAGTTTAAGTTAAAAAAGAAGTTTTCTTTTCTCAGTTGGTGCACGGACAGGAAGTAGGAACTACCTGAGATACTTGAGTATAAACTCAATATCTTGTTGAAGAATTTAAGAGAAACCTGCAAATTTGCTGCAAAATTGATTTTCAGTTTTTGGGTTTAACAGCTGAGCATCGATTGGTTTGACGGATTTAAACTTAAATTTAAAAAATTAATTAAACGTTAAACCATGGTGTAGCTGGTGTCTGGAGCCCTCTCTCTCTCTGTCAGCCTGCCCCTGCTCTGGTTTCAGTCTGGGTTGATGTGGATCAATCACACAGTGAGATCTCTGTGGTGTAGCCGACACACTCTCGAGGTCTCTGGGTTTACAGCAGCAGTCCAGCAGAAAAACATACAGGAACATCCTGAGCCACATCTAAACACCAAGAGAGGGACTTCAACTACCAACCAACCTGTCTCACACACACACACACACACACACACACACACACACACACACACACACACACACACACACACACACACACACACACACAGGGCTCAGTAGTGTGAGCTGTGGGGTCAGGATGCAGCTGGTGTGAGTTGCCTTTAGTATCATATAAGTAGTATCATTACATCATGTAACAGAAGAAACTAACAGTTTGGTCACGACAGGAGCAGAGAAGGAAGAAGAAAAAGAAGGAGCAGAAACAGTAGATGAGGAGGCAGCAGGAGAAGAAGCTAATGATCAGTTCAACCAGTCCAATAAGTCGACCTGAGGTCAGAACAGGAAACTGCTGAGGCAGTGAACACCACATTAAACCCAAACTGACATGAAGACAGTCTGTTCTGGCTGTTCTGACCAGAACAGACAATAAAGTTTGACTTATTCTTGTTGGAATAATTCTGTGCAGTGAATGTGACTCATGCTGCATTAACATCATGTTCACAGCAAAAATCAAAAAACAAATATCAGCTGACTCCAGCTAATCAAAAGCAAAGATTAGTTTTTCTATCTTCCATACTCACTGCCCGCGTATGATTTACGATCTCTCCAGGATGCTGTGATCGCAATAATTAATGCAAATTCAGTCAATCTGTGTGAAAATCTGACACAACATTTTTATTTTGTTTAATCACCGCAACTTTACCTAAACAGGTTAAATCCATTTTTATTGTAGAGCTGCGTGGAGCGTGCTGATCTCAGCTCCTCTCTCTCTTTAACAAGAGACTGCTGCTGCAGGACCGGAGCTCAGTGCCTGGGACAGAGCCACACACACAGTGACAGGGCTAACTGTTAGCATCACACGGCTACTGTCGCACATAAGCCCTTTTTAAACAGGAGTTGTGCAAATATGCAGGAAAGCCCAGTCAGTGTTTTTTCAGCATTGGCAGTATAAAAACAAAATCGGGGAGTGCAGCAAAATGTCGCCTGCCTACTTTTGTTTATACAGAATGTGCCTTTTTCGGGGCAATGGGGGGCGTGAGCAAGTAACAAAACGTGTAGCTCAGCGTGTGACGTAAACAGTGACGTGGGAGGGAAGCCGCGGCTGGTCAGTCCTTCGGCGATTCTCTCGTAAGTCGGCCCGTTCTTCACCGTCCCAGTCATCTGACGGTTAATGGCCTCTTAGTTTGAGAGGGCAAGGAGGCTGCGCAATTCCTTGACTCCCCAGTTGCTCATCTTTACAGTGTCTGTCAGGTTTGTGTTTCCCTCTTGCTACTAGCTGCTCACTAATTCCTGCTATCATCTCGGGCTGCTCGATTATGGAAAAAATAATAATCATGATTATTTTGATCAAAATTGAAATCACGATTATGCGGCGCACGTGATGACTTACATTGTTTACACGACGGCATGTTCTGCTGTAGGGTTCCAGCTCGAGCAGCAAAATATGATGAGTAGTGATGAGGTCACTTTGTGATGTGTTAGCTCGTGCTAACTGGGCATACAGAGAAAGAGGAGATCAAAGGTCCTTCAGCGCTGCATCAGCAGTCAGCTGTTGCTTGACCTTGACATTTGACCACCAACATCTAATCAGTTCATCGCTGAGTCAAGTGAACGTTTGTGCCATTTGAAGAAGTTTCCTGAAGGCATTCTTCAGATATTGTGTTCACTAGCATGGGACGGACAACCCGAAAACATAATCCCTGTGTCCACAGCTGTCACCGGCGCAGAGGCAAAACAGCCATAAACACTGCAACATTCTCTGCAATATTTCTTTAGAAAAGCTGTCATGAAATCAGACATTTCAGGCTGTAACAATCCCCAAAATCAGCTGTGAAAACCTGGAGGGACTGATTTTATTTTATATAAACTGTGGAATTAAACAGTTTTGAACATCACGTTAGATTCTGGGATATTTTGACATTTAAAAGATTAAAGAATTGATAGTTTTATCAATAGATATATCAGCTAACGAACCCCCCGACACGCTGACGACACGCAGTGACTCAGTCTGTGTGAACACGACAAAGATCTGTGCAACATATCGGACTGGATGTTCTGTGATCCAGACCTGTTGTGGTCTGGTCCCACTTGGCTGTATTTATACTCAGCGCTGGTTTTCTCCTTCTGGAAGAACTGGTTCAGACGGGCCTTGGCGTTCTCCAGCGTCCAGTTACCATGGAGATTAGCATTCAGGTCCACCTCCTCCGACTCCAGAGTCTGCAGGGATGAAATAAGATATTGGTGATTCAGGTGGTGCAGCAGAGAAGATCATCTCAGCTGGATTCTGTCAGACAGGAGAATTAAACAGGAAGTACTGTACCGCCTGAGCTTCCTGTTCATCTCTCTTGGCGTAGTACTCCTTCAGGTTGGCTCCTCGATCCCACTGAGCTCCTCCTCCTCCTCCTCCTCCTCCTCCTCCTCCTCCTCCTCCTCCCCATCCAGAGTTTCCTCCTCCTGAGTAACCGAGTCCAGTCACTCCTGGTACTGGCCCGTAGCTGCTGTCCTCTAACAACAACAACAGACACTCACATAATTAACACGTTATACTTTCTACATGTCTCCTGCTCACCTGATCCTGGATCAGTGTCAGATCTTTGACTTGTATGTATTCAGGGAGGAACAGGAACAGCCTGACCACATTCACACACCAACCAACAATCAGCACCATCAAAGGAGCCTTCAGCTCTCTCAGGTTGTTTCCAACCACCTTTCACATTCATTGTCAATGTGCTCGGGGAAGGTGGAGAAGTTGGTTCATCAAAAAGGTGAAGCACAATGGAAACAGACTGAGTGAATAAATGATGACGTACAGTCAGTGCAGAGACTTCATCGTCATCGTTCAACAGCTGATGTTTAGCCGATCTCTTCTAACAGCACACAGCTGTAATATTCAAACTCTGTTTCTATTGTCCAGTGCGCTCTGATATCACACATCCATCGTTTTCCTTCCTTTCAGGTTTGAGCGACGCTCTTTCAGTAACTTCATCTTGTTGCACTCTCTTCTGCAGCGCCACCTACTGCTCATCTCTATTAACCAACTCCCAACATTCACAGAGCAGCAGTGGAGGGAAAAGCACATGAACTACGAAAGGAGATCATATTTCTCCTGTTTTAGCTTCTCTGCACTGGCTCCCTGTAAAATCCAGAATTGAATTTAAAATCCTACTGTTAACTTATAAAGCTCTAAATGGTCAAGCTCCGTCATATCTTAGTGAGCTCATAGTGCCATATTATCCCACCAGAACACTGCGCTCTGAGAACGCAGGGTTACTCGTGGTCCCTAAAGTCTCCAAAAGTAGATCAGGAGCCAGAGCCTTCAGCTATCAGGCTCCTCTCCTGTGGAATCATCTTCCTGTTACGGTCCGGGAGGCAGACACCGTCTCCACATTTAAGACTAGACTTAAGACTTTCCTCTTTGATAAAGCTTATAGTTAGGGCTGGCTCAGGCTTGCCCTGTACCAGCCCCTAGTTAGGCTGACTTAGGCCTAGTCTGCCGGAGGACCCCCTATAATACACCGGGCTCCCTCTCTCTCCCTCTCTCTCTCTCTCTCTCTCTCTCTCTCTGTCTCATTGTGTCATACGGATTACTGTTAATTTATTATGCTGATCTGTTCTGTACGACATCTATTGCACGTCTGTCCGTCCTGGAAGAGGGATCCCTCCTCAGTTGCTCTTCCTGAGGTTTCTACCGTTTTTTTCCCCGTTAAAGGGTTTTTTGGGGAGTTTTTCCTGATCAGCTGTGAGGGTCATAAGGACAGAGGGATGTCGTATGCTGTAAAGCCCTGTGAGGCAAATTGTGATTTGTGATATTGGGCTTTATAAATAAAATTGAATTGAATTGAATTGAGTTTGCATTTTCTTTTGCAGATTTCTCCAAAAATGGGGTTAAATTTTTGCACTACTTTCAGACAGAAACCCGATTTCAGCCTCACTCTGGGAGCTCTGACCACCCTGCACCACTTTCCTGATTAGAAGTAAAACTAAACCTGCAGTGAGGACGACACAGTGCTGCTCTACAGAGTACCAGGAACATGACATGTGTGTTCGTAGCTCAGACTAGGGGTGGGCAATATGGCCCTAAAATAAGATCAGGATATTTTTGAGACAACGATATTCTTGATGATATGACAAATCACGTTATATATATATATATATATATATAGGGCTGCAACTAACGATTTTTTTCATTGTCTGCTAATCTGTCGATTATTTCTTCGATTAGTCGGCTAATCATTTTATTGAAAACTATGTTAAAATGTTGAAAAATGTCAGTCTGTCTCTCCCAAACCCCAAAATTATGTCATCTAATGTCTTGTTTCGCACTCACTCACTTCTTTAAGTAAAATCCTAAATGATTGAGATGTTTTTTTCCACCTAGACGTTTATGCTCTGCCATGCCTCCTCTAATCAGGCTGTAACCTGTGACAGGCTGTTATGAAGGAAAAACTCATTTAGAGTGTTGAAAGAGATTTTACAGCGTTAAAAGTTTCCCTGGAGATGATTTAATTGCTTGGATTCACGCTTATGGTGTCTGTTGTTGTCTCACAGAGTTGTCTGATACTTAGACAGTGAAAAAATTACATAAGAAAATAAGACAAGAAAACCATCGTGGTCAGAGGAGGAAAAGATTAAACTTCTGAAGGAAACAATCATAGAAACAACAAAGTGAATCAGATCCCCAGAAAACGACTGTAGGAAGAAGCAACAAAAATAAATTCAGATTTTAAGTGTAAAATCAGAAGTGTATCTGTCGGGTTCTCCTGGTCGCAGAACATTTTCTCAGGGTGTGTAAGTTTTTTCATTTATCACCATAAACTCGGGCATGTTGAAGTTAAGACAGAGTCAGAGGGACCTTGATTTTTTTAGTACCTTGCTTTGGTTTCTAAGGTCTTTGTGCAACGGTCGAGGGATTCCTTAAGTATGAGACCAAGACAAGGCGTGAAGCATTCATACTTAAGATATCAGCCACAGCACCAGACTGACGTGTCGAACACGCTCAGGTCGACTCATGTTTTAATTTTATCTCCCACCTGCATCTTCATCCTTTCACAGCGGGAAGGTCGTCTTGATTCAGCCGCTGTATTTAAGTTCACTTCTTAATCTGTGATATGCCACATTTCCACTTCATGGTACTGCACGGCTCCACTCAGCTCAACTCGCTCTGTTTTGGTTTGGACAAAGTTGTGGATCGTACCTGGGACTTTTTTGACACCACCTCTGCCGAAGATCCGAGCGAGCTGAGCCGACGCTAGAAGGTGAATTTAAAACACCGCAGTGCTCTGATCGGTCCTGCACAGACCCGCCATATTTAAACATTAAAACTACTGTCAAAAGTGACCACAATTTTTTTTATTCACTCGACACAGACTTTAAAAAATGTCGGCCCGCAAAACTATGCTGTGCTCTGCATTATACACACAATGCAGACATTCCTCTGAAGCCTGACACAGACCCCCCTGCATCAACAGAGCATGTGTGGAAAGGGTGCTGACTTTTAAAATCCTGGGACTCCATGTTTCTAAGGACCTCTCTTGGTCACCCATTAAAAAGAGCGCAACAGGAGCTTCGCTTCCTCATAGTGCTCAGGAGGAACAACGTGAGGAAGCTGCTGGTGGCGTTCTACCAGGCAACCACTGGGAGTGTCCTCACATACTGCATCTCAGTGTGGCATGCGGGCTGCACTGCTGCAGATAAAAAGGCTCTGCAAAGAGTCATCTAGTCCACAGAAAAGATCCCTGGCTGTCCCAGTGTTGCATTAAAGATGATGTCACGGCAATTTCATATGCCGTCAATATGGCGAACAGCTGAGAAGCCCACCTACACTGGGTGGGTGCTATCCACCATGGAAAACGTGACGAGAAAAAGCGCCTGGTACCAAATGTGAGTCGAGCTGAACGGTGCAGTGGAAGTGAGGCGTTAGAGAGATGACGATACCTTGTTCAGCTTTTACTACAAGGTGAGGTGGCAGAGGACCACTGGAAGGGAGGCTTCCAAAGCCAGCGTCTCCTCCTCCTGCTCCTCCTGCTCCTCCTCCCCCGTCAGGTTGGTCACCAGCTGGAGCGCTCACCTGGTGACACAAGACACAGATTCAACCTTTGAGCAGCACTTTAAGTTTTGTAATGCAGCATCAAGCTCGTCACTGACATGTCTAAGACTCATCTTTCTGGTCACTTCTTATCAACCCAACAGTGTTAGAAAACCGACTCAAACCGACTCCTTCAAATGTCCCAGCTTCTGTCGGACTGTGAGACCTGAGATAAAAACATTTAAACCGTTTGTGTCAGAATGTACAGAACAACATGATTAGTGTGCTGCTGACCCCGAGAGCTGGAACCTCTGCTGCGCTCATTTCCCCGATTCGGACCAGGTAGTTGACAAAGTCTCTGGCAGCGTTGGTCTGAGCGTCCTTCTTGTTGGTGGAGTTGCCCATCCCGATGTAATTGTGGCCGTCAATGCGGACCTGAACAGAGGAGAGCTGAGGGTTACACAGAGAATGCGTTAAACTTCGTCAGCTGTTCAGAGCAGACAGAAAACTCACCTCACACAAAAACTTCTGCCTGTTTTTGTTCCCTGCAGCTCGGATGTCGTAGGTGGGAGTCAGTTTCTTTTTTCCACACCAGGCATACAGGAAGTTCTTGATGTCCGCCATGGTGGAGTGGCGGGTGGGGGAGTTTCCTCCTCTGTCGACTCTTTAATCTGAGAGACAAACAAACTCATGTCAGCTAACCAGCACAACTGGTTTTAGGGATGCAAACCAATGCTGTATGTTTCCTACACGTGGTGCTTTAGTGTCAGAATGATGAGACCAAACTCTTTTCATCAATCAGTACATTTTCTGTGTTGCTAACTCAGGGGACACACTCAACTGTAATATCGTGACTACTTAATGTTTAGGAGTAAATTAAATCCGTTGGATTCGGGATAAAAACAAAGACTCAGACAACATGATGTTATTTCAGCAGAAGAACAGACTGATGGAGATGATCCTGTGGCGCGGCAGATAAAGATACCTGCTGTAATTTCCCAGATTTTTCCAGTGGAGTTTGGCCTGCAGTTCTAGATGAGCAATAAATCTGACAATGGCTACCCAAGGACAAAAATACATTTTTAATGTCAGACTTTAGAGACACAAAAAGCCATAATCAAACTCCACCTAAAAATCAATTCATTTTTAGTTCTGCTATCCTCGGGGACATACTCAACTTTTTTTTTTTTTTGATTTATTTGACAAGTAAAGCAGAATCATCGGCATATAATAGCAACTTGCACCGTACCGCAGCTGACATGTCATTTATGTATATTAAAAATAACAGGGGCCCCAGGACCGAACCTTGGGGCACCCCGCATGTTATACTCTGCGGATCAGAGAGGGTCCCCTCAACATCGCATACTTGTGTCCTATCCGTTAGGTACGAAGTGAGCCATTTGAGTGCTGAGTTTCTAAAACCCATGCACTGTAATTTAGAAATCAAAATGACTGCTGACTGACTGCTTTTGTTTTTTAGGAATAAGCAACATCTCCCATCAGATTTGGGATAAAAATGAAATCCCAAACAACATGAGGTTATTTCAGCAGTACACTGACTTGCAAATGGCTGTATGACGCTGCAGATGCCTACTTTAATTTACTAGATTTTTAAATGGAGTTCGGCCTGCAGACGTTAAATAAATAAAGTAAAATACACTGTTAATATTTCTTAGTCTTGATTTTCCGGAAAATGACGAAATTAATTTTGTGCTGTTGGACTTTGAAGAGACAAATCACAATGAAGAATGTCATTACCAAACTCCACTCACAAGTCAACAGAATGTTTGCTCTGCTATCCTACGGGACAAATTCAGTTGTAATATCATGATAACTTTATTTGTCAGGACTTAACAAAATCTCCACTCGTGTTCGGGATGAAAACGAAGACCATAACAGCCGACAACACAAATATATTTCAGCAGAAGAACCAACCGATCTGTAAGCGCTCGACTAACGAGAAAGCTTTAAATCCCCAGTTTTCTGAATGGAGTTTGGCCTGCGGCTACAGACGAACAATTTGAAACCGTGCAGTGGGACGTCACGTTACACATGTAACAAAGCTAAAGGTTAACTTGGAGGTAATACCGGGTTTCTTACAACTGAAGTTAGCGTTAGCACGCAGACCAGTTTGGCTTTATAAACGAGCCGGGCTAACGTTAGCGCATTAAGGCTACATTAGCTTTTTGCTAGCTAGCTCTGCCGCCATTTTGTGCGATGCATGAGTAAAAGCTAGAACAGATACTACCGTTAAGTAAACGAGTTAATGTTTTAACTGTAGATTTGTTACCCACAGGCCGGACAATCAGCAGGTTAAAGGCTCACAGGTCCTGCAGAACACACCGGCGGGTTGATGGTTTGTGTCTTTAACTCACACTTCCTTCCTGTGAAGGTGAAAGACGGTCGGATTGTTTTCTCAGTAAGTTACCGCCACCTGCTGGACCGGAGGGAACACTGCTTTACATAAACATACAATATTTGATATTTTACACTCTGTTTCTGCGGCTCCATATTAACATGGAAACATGTTGATTAATTAATAATTAATTTTATCCAGTTGGGTGATTAACAACAACTTCTTACACAATCATTATATAAAAAGAAACCGGAATTATGGCCCCATGGTTGTATGTTAGTTTCTTTCATGCACCTAAAAGTGCCTAACCCTCATGGGTTTATAAAAGAGACTCCAAAAGAGACAGTTGCAGCATTCACAGATAATTCATAACAATTCAGTTTATTTCAAAATAACCATAAAAGAAACAAACATACTGTAAGAGCTCATTCTTGGACTAAATATTCTGTCTTCTCTCTCAGGCCTTGCAAACAAAATCTGCAACAAAAAAGGTTTCCTTCCTGAAACATAATACCTCCCTCTCAGCCTCATAAGCAGGACAATAAAACAAAAACTGAACTTCGTTCTCAGTTTCCCCTAATTCACACAATAAACAAAGTCTGTGTTCTTCTGGACTGTTACTGAACCGACCAGTCTCTAGAGCTACAGGTAACGTTCCTGAACGTAGCTGTGCACAAAGAGATCTTTGTCTTGTGTTAAAATCATACCTCACAAAGGGTTCTGTGCTCTGGCTGTTCTTCAGGTGGCAGCTTTGGTTTGTACCAAATATCAACAGACCATTTCTCTTTATAAGTAAGGAACATTTTACTGCTAATCTCCTGAATATCACAAGATAACCTCTTCTGAAAAATAAATGACATATCATTCAAGTAAAATAAGGATTTCAGCTCTTTAACCCAAGGATGACCACGTGACAGAGATACACCAGTTAAATATCTTTTTAGTGAACCTTTGAGCAGACATCTTCACACGTGACCGAATCATTTCACATCTATGCCTAATGTTTCCCGTCCCATATCTCCACTAACAGATAAAACTGAGGGAAGTTTATGAACTCCAAGGATCGGATAGCTCTGTAATGCACAGTGTTACAACTTTTATGTTCAAGGAACCCCCAAAACACCAGAAGCTTAATCTGACACAGCACACACACATGAATTGTATGACTCCGCCCACCAGTCCACCCTGTGGTTGTATGACTCCGCCCACCAGTCCACCCTGTGGTTGTATGACTCCTCCCACCAGTCCACCCTGTGGTTGTATGACTCCGCCCACCAGTCCACCCTGTGGTTGTATGACTCCGCCCACCAGTCCAGTGTCTCTGACAGTCTCCATCCATGTCAGTGAAAACATGGATGCTTCACACACAGCAGATCTATACAATCAGCACAGTTTCAAGATTAGAGTCACCAATTCAGTATCTGACCAAAGGTCTCCCCTTCCATAAGCAGCCAAACTGAAGAAGCTCAAGATGAGCCACTGCTGTGAAAGTCTAGCAAAGTTTAGACGAAGAGGTGGATGTAGATGCATGACGCACATTTTAGTTGACGAAAACTTTATTTTTTGTACGGAGGGCACAGGCTACACCTTTTAACAATGAATGAATTTATTTAGGCCTAAAACACTCACAAATAAAGATGGGGCGGCGGTGCCTCAGCCCATAGGGAGCAGGGTTGGGAACCAAAGAGTTGCCAGCTCAAGTCCCCATCTGGACAAGTCAAGAGTGCGGACTGGCAGCAAGAGAGTTGCCATTTCGCCCCCTGAGGTACCCCTGAGCAAGGCACTGAACCCCCAGCTGCTCGGGGCACCTGCCCAAGGGCACCCAGATAGCACACATACATCTGGCCGATGTCGGCCCGATGTATGTGTGCTATCTGGGCAGTTATGTCACTCTGACATGCCTCCATTTAATGCATGTATATGTCCTGATTATGCACGTGTGTGTGTGTGTGTGAACAGAGTGAAAAAACAGACTCTCCCTTCAGGGATAAATGAAATATCTTCTTCTTCATCATTTCATGTGATATTTTGTCAAAGCCACAGGGAGCCACTGGAGAGGGGCTCAAGAGCCACAGGTGGCCCTTGAGCAGCAGGTTGCCTACTCCTGGTCTGTGGCCTGATACATTTTCCTCTAAACTTTGCCAAACCTGAACAGCGTGCTTACTTTGAGCCTCCTCAGCTCGGCGAGCAATGGACTCCAAATCAGAAAAAGTAAGATGAAAATACAGAATTTAATAGTGTGTGGACAGATGTGTTTGCCTTCACCGCCAACGCTGCAAAGTACCAAATAACCATAATTAGCCACCTTGCAGTGAAACATATTGATGAGTGCTCATTTGGACCTATTTTTAATGTAAATAATTTAGACTTATTACACGTGTAATCAAAAGGCTCAAATATGTTGATCAGGCAGATTTTTAGAAGTCACATGACTTACACAGAGCGTTGATTTGACAGTTTTGAATAACCAAACAAATGGTCAGACACTGGTCTTCTGACACGTACAGACCTGTGCGATGAAGGAACATTCTCTTCCTTTGCATCCTCGCTAAGTTTAACTTACCCAACAATCATCTATCCAGCTTTTTTCAAATAAGGCATTTTGTCCAGAGACAGTCATTTTCCCAGTCGCCCCCTGAATCACACGTTGATTAATCCCTCACCCTAGACTTTGATCAAAAATGGTTGATATCAACTATTGATGGAGAAATGGACTCCCTGAACCCAGCTCACACGACACCTCTCAAAGACTCCTGGGAACAAGACATGGGTGTCAACATTTCTGACACCCAGTGGAGGGATATTCTTGGCCTGATGCACTCCTCGTCACTATGTGCCAGACACGGCTCATTGCAGTGCAGCGTGCTCCACAGAGTCCACGTCACCAGCTCCAAATTGGCTAGAATTAACCCTGATCGACGTGATGTGTGTAACAGATGTAAGAAATCCCCAGCTGACCACTTACACATGTTATGGACATGTCACAGCTTAACTGACTTTTGGTCTAAGGTGTTTGACACCCTCTGACAGGCCTAGAACACAATTCTCGTACCTAACCCGCTGACAGCTTTAGTCGACCTCCCTCCAACTCAGAACACGCCAGCCACAGTACGACACGTCACATCCTTTACCACCCTGCTGCTCCATTCTTCTTCAATAGAAACATAAAGATTTCTCCTACTTGTATCCACGATCTCATTCTTTCAGTCACTACCCAGAGCTCATGACCATATGTGAGGGTTGGGACGTAGATGGACCAGGAAATGGAGAGCTGTCCGTTTTGGCTCAGCTCCCTCTTCACCATCACAGCCCGGCACAGCGACCACATCACTGCAGATGTCGCCCCAAACTGCTGATCCATCTGACGCTCCATTTCCCCTCACTCGTGAACAAGACCCCGAGATATTTGAACGCCTTTGCTTGGGGCAGTAACTCCCTCACAACCCAGATGGGGCAGTCCACCGTCATTCAGAGTTGACAGAAAAGAAATAAAAGGAACAGGAACCATCTTGGTTCGTCTTTCCACTGCTCCAACAACCACCAGCTGTGGTTTGGTTGAAATAAACTCTTAATTCACTCAGTTAGATGTGAAAATATTCGACTCTTTACACACTAACATGTATTTCACAGATATCTCGAGCAGGTACGCAGTCACTTTGAACCCAGAAAGTAAAACAGACTTTGATGATCCGTTTTCGTGGTGAAGCGTAGGGAGTGGTCAGTAGTTTGTAACTCTACTGTACGCGGTCCAATCCTCCCTGAACTTCACGTCAGTATTGAGGTATACTGAGGGCGCCAACTACTGGCAACAGGAAATGACACATTTTATACTTTGATGTGCTCCTATCAAGTTGACCAGGTCCACCTCAAATCTGACGCTCCATTCCTCTGAAATGGAAACATATGTCTCCCCCAAACACGAACAGTGGATACAGGAAGTCTTACGATGCATTCAGCTGTAAGAGTTCAGACTTATTAGGCTTTGCACTGTTGTACAGAACTGTTCATGTCTGCAGAAAATAAAGGCTCTACTGACAGTTAACGGTTACTACAAGATCTGAGTCCTTCCTGCAGCTCTGACTGTACGTGTCAGATAAACGTAGTGCAGTAAAGGTACAGCGTGTAGCACATGTTACGATCCACACTCACAGCTAGTGTAGCTGCAAAGTGAACTCAGAGCTGAGAAATGCAGCCAGGTGTTGATAACGTGTGTGTGTGTGTGTCTGTTCAGGGTGTGGCGTTGACAAGGCAACAGAACGAGCCAGGTGTGGCTGAATCAGTGTGTGTGTGTGTGTGTGTGTGTGTGTGTGTATTTAAGGCCTGCAGCAGTGTATTTGTGCAGATCAGCGGTGGGGAAAGTGTTTGTGTAACCAGGTATTGGCAGGGTGTGTGTGATGGATCATAATGTGTGTGTGAGTGTGAGTAAGTGTGAGTGTGTGTGTGTGTGTGGTTCAGGGTGTGTCTGCTCGGTCACACCTGCAGCCTCAGGACACACTTTACAAATGGAAACAGATCAGAGCTGCAGGCGGTGATTTACTGCTCGCTGAGCGCCGATGACACAAACACAATCAGAGTACTTTCAGGTATTTGGACGCACGTATCTGACCTGAGTAATACACACATCCAAATACAAGTAATCCAAAGTTCAGACGGATTTCACAACAATCATAAAGAGGAGCCAAAGGGGAGGTTTGGTATTTTCCAACCTGGACTCTATTTTTCAAGGTTCCTGTTTGTTTCTTTCAACGTCCGTCCACTAACAGTGTTTGTGTTTGTCACTGACAGGCTCAGGCTGTTACTCTAAGTGTCTGACAGCATGATGAAAGGATCCCTACAGAGATAGAGCTTTGTGTTAAAGAGTCAGATCCAGAAACAGTCCTGAAATCACCGTCACCAAACCCACCAGACTACATTTAGATAAACAGTCATTCTATCATCATTAAACACACTTCACTCAGAGTCGACAGAAACACAGTAAAACTCACAGAAACCATCTCGGTTCATCTTTCCACTGTTCCAACAATCACCAGCTCTGCTTTGGTGTGAAAATATTCTGACTCT